AGGGACTGGCCAGAGAGCTAAGACAGAGTCGGAGCCCTCCGAGCCAGCTCTGGTTTCATAACATCGCCCAGGGGGAAGGCCCTTGTTCTCCTCCTCGGCCCCAATCCGGGAAAACTGAAGTCAGCTGGAAATGGCTCTGCTGCCTTTGTGATACGGAAAACCGATTTATTTCTTCATAGCAACAGGCATGAGCAAAACCAGACTATACCACACGATAGATGCCAACACACACTCACACATACATACACTCTCACACACAGCACACATGCACACACGCCACACTCACACACACTCATGCTCACACACCACACTCACACACATGCACTCACACACTCTCTCGCACACGCACACACTTCCTCTTCCTCTCTCTAGTCGCTCTTCCCACGCCATTTCGAGTGTGCTCTGTAGTGTCTGTACCGCGAGCTTGGCTCCTGGTGAAGGAACGCTAGGCATGGCGAGTAAGGCAGGGGACACACTCGGGAAGCACCCAGCTCTCCCAGCAGACCTGCCCTGCCGCCAACCCTACCTTGAAGGCAGGTCACAGCTGGGTCCCAGAACTACGAGCAGCCGACACCTGAGAACCAGTCTCCCTGCTGGACCCCGCTCCGACCCGCATGGCACCCCCACGCCCACCTGTGGCCAGAGCCCAGTGGGACTGTCCCAGGTGCGAAGAGCCGTGTGGAGGCATTTCCTGCGGAGGGCATTCTCCTGTGCTTTGCCAGGCCCACCTTCCGGCCATCCAGCTGCTGTGTGGCCACTGCGAGCTCACTTTGGTCTTCCCTCTGCCTTCTCCCTGGCTCTTAGGACGGTGAAACAGACATTCCCATTCAGCCTGTTTTCCTCGCCTTTGCCTTCTGCAGCTCAGGAGATAGGGTGTGCTCTCAACTAACTGGGAGCCTGAGTGAAGAGGAAAGAAAAGAGAAACCCCACTCACAGCAAAGAGGTGTTCACATTTAACAAGGGGACAGTCCCCAAGGCATGGAACTGCAAGGCGTGAAGGGGCCCCAGCATTTGGTGGCTAGGTCACCTGAGTGTTTGTCTATACCCAGAGAACAAGACAACACACCTGGCCAGGCTTGCTGAGCAGCCCTAGGCCAGCCACAGTTTCTTAGCTCACTGGGGGTGACCTCACGTCTGTTCCCAGACTCTCCGTGAAGCCTTCTCCTCGCCTCAGCTACCCAGTGTGCACTGAACTCCGTGGACTTTACCTCAGCTCTGTGTCAGGTTTTCTCTCTCCACAGGCTTGGGGCCCAAGGCCATGCTACCTCACTTTTATGGTGCAGATAATACCCTTGACCTAGAACCTTCTGGTTCCACCCACTCCTTCCAGTGCCTTCCAGTGCCTCTCAGTGTTTTTCTCAGTGACTTGAATGGGCTCCTTTGAGCTGGGAAGGGTTACAGCAGACTGCATTTCTGCTATAAACTTCTCGGTGTGATATTTTCATAAGCACAGACTCTCACCAGGAACTCCAAGCCGTTTATGGGTTCCACAGGAACCCTGGAGTAGGAGAGGTTTGTCACCCTGTAAAAGGGCAGGCTGAAGGGAACTTCCAGGCCTTTTCTGTAGGAGAGACAGTCCACCCAGCATTTACTTGTGACCTGCCCTCTGTGCGTGATAAGGGGCATTTATGTTTGACAATCCCGATGCCATTCCAAGAAAACTGCATTCTGCAGTTATGATAATCCTGATTCAAACTGAGTTTGGGGCCAGCCTGATCTATCCGAGACTATTTCACAAAAACAAGAGAGAGAAAGAGACAGAAGCTTTGTATGTTTGGAACACAGAGAAATGATGTCTGGGATGAGAGTTGTGGTAATTGCCCGATATGATCATTACATGGTGTTGATTTGTTTTGTTTTGTTTTATTGTTTTTTTTTAATAGTGTCTCATGTAAACCAGGCTGGCCTTGAACTCACCAAGTAGTTGAAGCTCATCCTTGAACTCCTAATTCTCCTGATGAGTGCTAGGACCACAGGGTCCCCACAGACACCCCTACTCCTGTAAGCAAACATGCACACAGGTACAATAAATAAAATATCTGGGTATTGGTGATGCACACCTTTAATCCCAGCACTCAGGAGGCAAAGGCAGGTGGATCTCTGTGAGTTCAAGGCCAGCCTGGTCTACAGAGTGAGTTTCCGGGACAGCCTCCAAAGCCACAGAGAAACCCTGTCTCGAAAAACCAAAAAAAAAAAAAAAAAGTCAGTGAAATCATCGTTGTAAGTAAACATGTACTAGTAAAAATATAAAATGAACAGATGAAAATATTTTTTTAAATCTTCCTTTTTTCAGAAGTTCCGGTCTCTACCAGGTCGAAGAAACTTCACGGGTCACTTGAAGTGAGGGGCTGGCAGACATCATGTTGACAAAACAGATCCCTCGGGGTCTAACCGAGGAGAAAGAGCTAGACTGGCTGGACTGGTTTTCTCACAAATCTCTCTCAGTAACTTAATCCCAAAGAGACTGAATTTGAAGGCAACTGACTGGTAGGAGGGCTGAGGAGCAGCCCCAAGTGAGGCCAGCCCTGCTCTCCTGGGTAAACCGGGCGCCCTCTGGCCGGGAGGTACCTTTTCTATGGGGGACTCAATTCATCCGTTGGAGGTGTAATAGGTCAGAAATTAACCAGTGAGCAACAGGCTGTGAGGGTTCAGATTCAAGACAGTGATTCATTCCACCTGGGGACAGGATCAAGCCACTTCCCTGCGGAGGCGATGTCTCACCAAGCAGTGCGGGGCCAGAGTCCTCAGCCCTGAGAGGGCCACTTCATGTGTCACTGAGAGACAGAGAAGACACCTACCTACCGGGATCACTTGAGGGTTTCAAGGAGTGTTCCACTGATAATGGATTAGTGCTCTCTCCTGGGCGGAGAGACAAAGCTGTCCATTCTTGGCTTGCCTAGAGAGATGTCGATACTGTCCCTTCTGGCCATCCAGTTGAGGACAGAGCTCACTTTGGCACAGCTGAGAAACAGGACATTTGAGGAAATGTACATGGAGAGCCTCTTCTCAAATACGTTTTTCTTAAAAAAAAGAAATCTATTTATTTTTATTTTATGCGTAATGGTGTAGTGCCTGCATGTAGCCTGTGCAAGCCATGTGAAATTACCCTCAGAGGCCAGAAGAGGTTGCAGGGTACCCTGGAATTGGAATTACAGATAGCTGTCGCCTATTACGCGGGTGCTGAGAATGGAGTTCAGGTCCTCTGGAAGAGCATCCAGTGCTCTTAACCGCTGAGTCATCTCTCCAGACCCTCTCAACTACATTTTGTTAGATGGCTTCTGGGGTGTGGGGAGCCTTTGTCTAACACTGTCAAAAATATGGCTCCCATATCTAAGCTCTATCTACATCACTAAAAACAGCAATGATGCCAGGTGGTGGTGCACGCCTTTGATCCCAGCCCTCAGGAGGCAGAGGCAGGCTGGTCTCAGTGAGTTCGAGGCCAGCCTGGTCTACTGAGCAAGTTCAGGACAGCCAGGACTATTACACAGAGAAACCTGGTCTCTAAAAACAAAACAAAACAAAAACAAAAACCCAGCAAGGACAACCACTAAACACAAAACATGCCCAGTGGCCCCATTTGTGTCTTCCTGACGCATGGCCCATAGTCAAGGGACGTGACCTAAACAGGAGCCCATGTAAGTCCTGAGAATAGAGCTGACTCTGGTGTCCAGAACATGGTCTGGGAAAGGGCACAGTCTGCAGTGGGCACGGTCCTACTGACTCTTCCCGGGAGAAGGAAACATGACTAGAACAAATATAGAACAGACTCTCTGAGACCTGGGGCCCCCAAAGGAGACCCCGTCTCCCCAAGCTCTAGAACTGCAAGGAAGCAGCGCTAAACTCTACAGAAACTGCTATCGGTTCCCTGCTTTACCCTGACCACTAGAGAATGTCCATCAGCAGGGCTATGCAGTGCAGAGAGCTCCCTGGAGGGAACTTCTCTAAGGCAGGGACATTTGGGGACTTAGAGAGACATTTTCTCCCTCGCACTGGCGGATGACTCAGAAGTCAAAGCACTTGCTGCTGGCTCCGATATGATCTCAAGTTAATCTCTAGAATCACATGATAGAGGGAAAGGATAGACTCCCACAAGCTGTCCTCTGGCCTGTTTACATGCATGTACACACCCGCACCCAGACATAAGTAAGCAAGCAAACAAATAATTCCCAGTACCCACATAGTGGCTCACAACTGTCTGTGACTCCAGGTCCAGGGGCTCTGCCGACAACTGTACGGAAAATAAAGTTAAAGAGGAAGAAGAAAAAAAGACGTAGTAGGTGATAATCAAATATCCTACGACACGGCCCTAAAAGAAAGTCCGCGCTCACAGGCTGTTCCTGGGAACCCTTGTGAAGGTGAATGGAGAGAAAGGGAGATCAACCAAAAAAGCGTGAGAATCAACAGCGATGTCAGGCAGGTGTTGCAGGCCTGTAGCCTCAGCGCTTGGCGGGCAGGAGCAGGGGGTTCAAGGTTATCCTCAGCTGAAGTTTGAGTTCCCAGCCAATCTGGACTACGTGAAAACCTACCTCAAAAAAATAAAATAAAATAAGAAGCAATAAAGCAATTTGATGGTGAACTTGGGACTACACTATCAGACTGGAGGCCCAACCACTGGCTAAGACTAACAGCTTAGATTTTTCCACCTCCTCTTACACAGCTTTGCCACACACACCTACCATTCCCTGCACAAAGTCTGCTCTCCAAGCAACTAAGTCCCCATTGATTCATTGGATTGGATTTCTGTAGTGATGGGTATGAACCCATGACCAGGCAAGGGCCCCACCACTGAGCCATATCCCCAGAATAAATAAATAAATAGATAAATAAATAAATAGATAGATAGATAGATAAATAACGGATGAACCCATGACCAGGCAAGGGCCCCACCACTAAGCCATATCCCCAGCAATAAATAAATAAATAAAAAGAAAGAAACAAAGAGAGAATTTTTTTTCAATGACGCAAAATTGGAAGAAGTTTTTAGCACAGACAGAAGCACAGAGGTTAACGGGATTTTTATTTTGGATTGATTTGGTTCCTTTTTTTTTTTTTTTGGTCTTTTGAGGTGGGGCCACCATGCCACACTCCGAACACCACAGTAAGAGAGCTAATTGTCTGGCTTTCTTTGGAATACAACATTTCAAGGCTTTACACAGTCTACTTAAAAAAAAAATTAATGCTGGGTGGTGGTGGCCCACACCTTTAATCCCAGCACTCGGGAGGCAGAGGCAGAGTTCCAAGTAAGCCAAGGCTACAGAGAAACGCTGTCTCAAAAAACAAAACAAAACATAAACAAAATAAAACAACAAAAAGTTAGTGTACAGAGATTTTGCCTGTATGTCTGATCACGGCACTACTTGGCATGACTGGTTCCCGCTGAGACCAGAGAGGGGGACAGACACCCTGGTCCCCCTGGCACCAGAGTTACAGATGGTTGTGACCTGCTGTGTGGACGCCGGGAATTATATTTTGAATATGTTGCCCAGTGTTTCGCCCTCTCTCTGGCCTATGCAGAAGATGGTTTTCTAACTACCAACCCCCACCCCCATCCCCAGACTCAGGGCTTGAGAAACAGCGTATACAGCCACTTACTTCTTCCAGACACAAAAGAACCAACGCTGTGGTCCACTCTGCGCCTGTGCCAGAGTGGAGGTCACAGACATCCTACAGGAGCCCGTTCTCACCTTTCACACCATGTGGTTTCCTGGGTTCTAACTCAGGTTCGGGCTATCAGACTCGGGCGGCTACAGACTTAACCCTCTGAGCCATGTCACCACCGGCCCTGCTAATGAGGCGGTGGCATGCGATTTCACCGGAGCCAAATCATCTCAGAAAAGAACTCTTTTGTTTCAGCCGGGCGGTGGTGATGCAGCGCTCGGGATACAGAGGCAGGTGGATTTCTGTGAGTTCGAGGACAGCCTGGTCTATGGAAAGAGCTCCAGGGCAGACTGGGCTGTTACATGAAGGATGGAGGGGGGCGGAGACGGAAGGGAGGGAGAGAGAGAAAGGAGTCTGGCCAGGGTCCAGGTGGTGGCTCTTGCCTGTAATCCGTCCCAGCACTCTCCGGGCTGAGGTAGAAGGTTCAAGTCCAGTCTTTGCTACAGAGTGAATTCCAGGCTCGGGGATGCTACACGCACTGGCTCAGAGGCTTTTCCTACAAACACTCCTAAGCGGTGTGCACTCTTTCAACATCTGGGGGCGATGCCGAAAGCGTGCGAGCCTTAAAAAAGAACCGGACAAAAGCGCTTTCCTAAGTCAGACCTTCTTAGCTTAGCACTGCTTTATTTTATTTTTTTTAAGTTTCCACTGACCTTAAAGCACGGAGATCTAGGAAACTGGTGTCTGGAGTTTAAGGGAAGAAAACCTCAGGGCTGAGATCACACAGCCACATTAGTAACCAAAACAAAGCGGAAAGAAATCCTGGTCCCCAACACGGAGCCCAGGAACCGCCGCACGCCCACCCCACCCCACCCCGCGTCACGTGACCAGCCTCCAGCCTCCCTCCCGGACAAAGAAGAGGGAGGAGACTTGGGAACAAAGAGCCAGGGCTGTAGAAACTGGACCTGGAGCGGAAGTTACCCAGTATGAGTTTCTGTCTTCGGGCTTTACCTTACCCAAGGAATATTAAACATTAACCCGAGCTGTAAAAGGGCTGACTGAGCCCAGCTCAGCCTAACCTACAGGAGAGGGAGGCTCTCCCGGCCAGCTCGAGCAAGGTCCTCCTTTTGGGTGTCCATCAGTCCTTCAGGCTGTCGTCTCCCACCTCTGGAGAGATCTGGGCTAGCTTCCTCTCCGCCTCTCTCTGTTCAGCATTCATGCGTTTGAGAAAACTGCCCCTCTGACAAACGGATGGCCACAAGCGGAAACTTTGGAAAAGAGACTTGACGCTGCAAACAATAAAGAGACCACTCTAGAAGAAAGTTGAAAACTGGACAGTGAGGACCCCTACCCCCAGCAAGCAGAGACTCACAGGGAGACAGTGAATGGGTGTTAGTGAATCAGGACCTGTGTTCATGCAGGGACCATGTCCTCCAACTATTGCCTCTGACTTCACGTCCTACAACGATTCCCATTATCTGGAATATTTGTGGCTGTCATAATACAGCCCCATACTTAGAAATGTATGCAATTTATAACTAAAATCTGTTGAGCAGACTGTGAATTTAAGTTTCTCAGGAAAGGAACACAGTCTCTTTTCTTTTGGTTTGTTTGCTTGTTTGTTTTTATTTTTCGAGACAGGATTTCTCTGTGTAGCTTCAGAGCCTGTCCTGGAACTCATTCTGTAGACAAGGCTGGCCTGGGACTCACAGAGATCCACCTGCCTCTGCTGGCATTAAAGGTGTACACCACCACCACCAAGCATCTCATTTCTACAATGCAGTGTTGTGTTTAATCTGCCTTGTCATCTTCCTTTTAGAATTATTTATTTATGGGCATGAGTGTTTTGCCTTCATGCATGTATATGAGCCACTTGCATGCCTGGTGCTGGTGGGAGTCAGGGGCATGAGAGCCCTTAGAACTGGAGTTAAGGATGTTGGGTGTCATCATGGAGGTGCTTAGATCTGAACCTGGGTCCTCTGCAAAAGTAGCAGCTGCTCCTAACAGTTGAGCCATTTCTCCAGACCCTGGCTTTGTCTACTTGTTTACACCTTTGCCTTTGGCTTGTCCCTGCTCCAGCTGCCACTCTGGATGTCAGAGAATCGTCTTGAAGCTCTTCCCAACTCCCAGCACACCTAACACCCTCTCCAATATCACACACACAAAGTGAGTCTTTTTTTTTTTTTTTTTTTTTTGGTTTTTCGAGACAAGGTTTCTCTGTATTGTTTTGGAGACTTTCCTGGAATTAACTCTGTAGACCAGGCTGGCCTCGAACTCACAGAGATCCGCCTGACCTCTGCCTCCCGAGTGCTGGGATTAAAGGCGTGCGCCACCAACGCCCGGCTTTCAAAGTGAGTCTCTTAAAAATGACCAAGTACTCTGAGTTTGAGACCAGTCTGGTCTACAAGAGCGAGTTCCAGGACAGCCTTCAAAGCCACAGAAAAACCCTGTCGCCAAAAAGCAAGCAGACAAACAAAAAAATACCAAGTACAAGTTAAGAGTACTGGCTACTCTTCCAGTCACCTGGGTTCAAGTCCCAGCACCCACAGGTTGGCTATAAACCATCTATACATAGCTCCAGTCCCCAGCGATTTGAAGACTTCTGGTCTCTTATAGACACTGCATGCAGGTGACGCAGAGGCATATATGTAGACAAAATGCTGATACACACAAAATACATGGAACTTAAAAAGATGATTCACTTGAGCTAGGCATGGTTGCTCATGCATTTAGTTCCAGCACTACTAGGAGGCAGAGGCAGGCAGATCTCTGTGGCTTCAAGTCCAGCCTTGTCTAAAGAAATGAGTTCTAGACCAGTTTAGGACCACACAGTGGGACCTTGTCTCAAAAAACAGACAAGCAAACAAACAACAAACCACATTAGAGCTGGATGTGGTGGTACATGTCTATAATGCCAGGATTTGGGACACTGAGGCAGAAAGTGCATTTCAAGTTCAAGGCCATCTTGGGTTATATTGTGAGGCCCTGTCTCTAAAACAAGAACACTCCCCTAATATATGCAAGGTCCTGGGTTCCATCCCTGGCATTTAAAACAAACAGTTCCTATTATACCCCCCCCCAAAAAAAAGGCAAGCTGAGCAAATACAAGGTCTACACAGTATAGTTCTTCTTTCCTTGCTATTTATCATGCCCTGGAATTCACTTTGTTTTTTTGTTTTGTTTTTTTTTTTGTTTTTTGTTTTTTGTTTTTTTGGTTTTTTTGAGACAGGGTTTCTCTGTGGCTTTGGAGGCTGTCCTGGAACTAGCTCTTGTAGACCAGGCTGGCCTCGAACTCACAGAGGTCCACCTGCCTCTGCCTCCCAAGTGCTGGGATTAAAGGCGTGCGCCACCAATGCCCGGCTTGGAATTCACTTTGTAACCAGCCTGGTTTTGGACCCATAGAAATCCTCCTGCCTCCGCCTCCCTGGTGTTGGTATTAAAAGCATACACGCCTTGATTTTTTTATTTTATTTTTTAAAGGGTTTATTTATTTTATGTGTATTGGTGCTCTATCTGTATTTATGCCTTTATGCAGGAGGAGGGCATCAGATCCCACTATAGATGGCTGTGAGCCACCATGTGGTTCCTGGGAATTGAACTCAGGTCCTCTGGAAGAGCAGCCAGTGCTCTTAACCACTGAGTCATCTTTCTAGCCCAATTTTTTTTTTAGTTTTTTAAATGCATTTGGTTATTTGTTGTTGTTGTTGTTGAGATAGACTCTAGTTTTGTAGCTCAGGCTGGCTTTCAATGTTTGATTCTCTTGCTTCAGTTTCTTGAGGGCTGGGAGCACAGGTGTGTACCACCAAGCCCAACTTGAAGGTACTTTTCTTTTTGTTTTTTTTTGTTTTTGTTTTTGTTTTTGGTTTTGGTTTTTCGAGACAGGGTTTCCCTGTGTAGCTTTGGAGGCTGTCCTGGAACTAGCTTTTGTAGACCAGGCTAGCCTCGAACTCACAGAGATCCGCCTGCCTCTGCCTCCCGAGTGTTGGGATTAAAGGCGTGCGCCACCAACGCCTGGCTCTTTTTGGTTTTTTTGAGACAGGGTTTCTCTGTGTAGCTTTAGCTGTTCTTGGCTGCAACCGCTTGGTAGACAAGGTTGGCCTTGAACTCACAGAGATTTGCCTTGCCTGCCTCTGCCTCCTGAGTGTTGAGATAAAGGTGTGTGTCACCACGTCTGGACCTTGAAGGAACTTCAAAAAAATTTTTTTTGGTTTTACGAGACAGGGTTTCTCTGTTTTGGAGGCTGTCGGTCCAGCCTGGCCTCGAACTCACAGAGATCCACCTGCCTCTGCCTCCCAAGTGCTGCAAAAAAATTTTTTTTAAAGATTTATTTTACCAGGCAGTGGTGGTGTATGCTTTTAATCCCAGCACTTAGGAGGCAGAAGCAGGTGGATTTCTGTGAGTTCAGGGCCAGCCTGGACTACCAAGCGAGTTCCAGGACAGCCTCCAAAGCCACAGAGAAACCCTGTCTCAAAAAACCAAAAAAAAAAAAAAAAAAAAAAAGAGAGAGAGAGAGAAAAACAAAACAACAACAAAAAGATTTATTTTTAATTGTGTGTGTGTGTGTGTGTGTGTACATGTGAGTGAAGGTGCTTCCAGAGTCCAGTAGAGGGCATCAGTCATCCATCATGGATCTTGGGAACCGAATGGGGGTGGGGACGTGGGGGTGGTCTTCTGCAACAGCAGTGCTTGCTCTTGACTCCTGAACTCTCTCTCAGGACCACTGCAGGTACTTTTGTTAGAACCCCCAACAAGTTTTTAAGTCGTGTGCCCAGTGTCTGTTTTCAGGCACTGTTTAGGTGGAGGGGATGGAGTGACTCTCTACTAGGTTAACTGAACTAAACGGTAATGAAATGTCCCAGAATCCCAATCCCTGTATATTCCAGGTTAGTTAAAGTCATCACATGGTGTTTGGAAGACACAAGGGAGGCAACACCAGACTTTGGAATCCTCTGAAGGTAAGCTACCCATGGGCATTCTTACTGGGATGCTAACCCCTATGCATGAGGCAGCATCAGGCCCACACACAGCTCCTTTACCTCCTAACAGAGGTCTGGGCCACGCACACACACTAGCCCACTAACCGTAGGAGGTCAGCATCTACTATAAGGCATCTGCAGCATTGCAGCATCGGGCTCCGAGGGAACCACAGTCAGGTCGGGCTTTGCATCAGTCTGTATGACTTCCAGTATGTCCTTGCTTCCATCCAAGTCTGACTGTCTTTCCTGGCTGCTGGTGTGATGACCTATAGTCACCAGGCTAAACAGAAGCAACACTTGCTACTTCCCACAAGTTCCCCCCCAGTGTGGTGATTCTACATAATCCCGACAAACCGACAAGTCTCTGCTTACCATGGCCCTGCTTCTCCAATCATATCGCAATGATTCAAGAGGCAGAAGCCAACAACTGTGTGGGCAGTGCCTAGCTCCTTAGGTGGAAACCACAGCAGGCCTTAGCTTAACCACACCCTGTGCTGGACCACTCAGGACTGCGACACCTCAGTGTCTCCCACACAATCCTGTTCCTCCTGCTTCCTTCTTCTCTGGACCACGTCTGGCCCAGCTGCAGTCTGCTTCTCCTTTCTACCTGTAGAACATGATCTTGCCCATCTGATTCCCTGCAGACAGCCACTGCTGGAAAGGAAACTCACCCGAACCTGAAAACAAAGCAAAACCACTGCTTGCCTCCTCCGTGTTGCTTGGCCTGGTTGAACAGGCTCACCGAGCGTTACTTGGTATCTAGAACAAAGAATCCAGTGTGACTTTGCTATTTCCTGTGATTATAGCCCAGATACCTGAAGTTCCATGTTAATTTGCAGGTTGCTGCCCAGTAAGAAAACATTTTTTTTTCTTTTAAGGAAACCTTAATCTGTAGCTGATGTGGCTGAGGCTGGCCTAGAATTTACTACTGTGACCTCACTAACTTCCAACTCCCAATCCTACTTCAGCCAGAGCTATACAAAGAAACCCTGTCTTGGAAAAAAACATACGAACAAACAAAAAAAAAGATTTCTAGGGAAATAGTATTTTGTGTATTTATGATTTTCTTTTTTCAATTTTTGAGAAAAACCATGTCAGTTTTATTTGCTTTATTTTATGTGTCTGAGTGTTTTGTCTGCATGTATGTATGTATGCCATGTGCGTTACTGGTGCCCGAGGGGTGCAAAGAGGGTGTCAGATGCCCTGGAAATGAGGTTGAGGTCGCCTGTGAGCCACCTTGTGGGTGCTGGGACTTGAACAAGGACCCTGGGCAGGAGCAGCCAGTGAGCTACTGTGTGAAGCCATCTCCCCAGCCCTGTGATCCCATTTCCAGCAGACAGAGGTCCATCGCCCGCCCGTGTTCAAGGCACACAGCCTGAAGGTCGGAAACGTCGGGTCACTTTCATAGGTCCTATCCTTCAGGGAAAGTTACCCTCGCCTCAGAGTCACACCTTGTTCCTGTCGTCACTCCGCGGCACCCAATAACAGGAATGGTCAGTTAGAGATGAAATGTGTGAAGAGCGCTTCCGGACTCCCTGAGGGTAGCGTGCATTCGCTGTGCCCAACAGACGCCTTAGTGTCCCAACTGTGCCCAGCAGACGCTTTAGTGTCCCCAAGGCGATGTCAAATGTCTCCCTGGTTTTATGCCGGCTTCTTTTCTTTTACTTTTATAATAACATCATCCAAAAATCGCCAGGTGGTGGTGGCACACACCTTTAATCCCAGCACTCGGGAGGCAGAGGCAGGCGGATCTCTGTGAGTTCGAGACCAGCCTGGTCTACAAGAGCTACTAGTTCCAGAACTGCCTCCAAAGTCACAGGGAAACCCTGTCTCAAGTCCTACTCCCCCCCCAAAAAAAATCCAAAAATCAAAGAGCCGGTGCTGGTGAGATGGCTCATTACACATGCCAGTTAGTTTCTTGTCAGCTTGACACGGGTTAGCGCCATCTGGGAAGAGGGAGAAAACCCAAGTAGAATGGCCTCAGAGTGGTCTGCAGGTGATTCTGTGGGCTGTTTGCTGTCTCCTTATGATTTATGCCCAGCACACTGTGGGTGGTGCACCCCTGGGCAGGTGGTCCTAACAGGTATAAGATTTATTTTATGTGCCTTGGTGTTTCCCCTGCAATTGTGTCTGGGTGAGGGTGCCGTATTCTCTGAATACTGGAGTTACAGACATTTGTGGGTGCTGGGAATTGAACTCAGGTCCTCTGGGAAAGCAGACAGGGCCCTTAACCGCTGAGCCATCTCTCCAGTCCTGGGAGAGGTATAAGAAAGGTAGCTGCCACCAAGCATGAGGGGCCAGCCAGTAAGCAGTGTTCTTCCACGGCTCCTGCGCCCAGGGTCCTGCCCTGAGGTCCTGCCTTGGCTTCCCTGGGTGATGGGCTCCCCAGGTTGCTCCGGATCATGGTGTTTATCACAGCAATCGAAAGCAAACTAGGATGGCGGCTAAAACTGGGCCTTACGGCCCACGTGCCATCCCCAGCGCGCTCACACAGTAGAAGGAGAGAGCCAGTTTCTTCAAGTTGTCCTCTGACCCCCGCACCGGAACCATGGCGTGTGTGTGTGTGTGTGTGTGTGTGTGTGCGCGCGCGCGTGCGTGCGTGCGTGCACACACAATAAATGTCTTTTTCTTTAAAGCAATGAACTTTTATTACTCAGGTGTATTCATTTTCTTTGGTAGCGATTACAAGCTTGGGAATCCACTCAAAAATTTTAGGCGACTATTATTGAGTAGGGGGCTGCATAGTTACAATTATTTATTTATTTATTTATTTCATGTGTGTATGGGGGGGCGGGGTCAGAGGACAGCCTGTGGGAGTCCCTTCTGTCATTTCACCATGTGGGTTCCACGAATCATGATGACAGCCTTGACGGCAAGCGCCTTTGCCCTCTGAGCCATCTCACCGGCCCGGTAACTGTGATTACTAGGTGAGGACATTTTGCTTACTTGTAGTAGCAGATGTCATACAAATTATACCCCGGACGCCGCGCCCACCCCACTCAGCTTTCCTTAGGGTTTGTGTATTCAGTGTGGCCCAGGACAACCCTGCTTTGCCCGGTGTGGCCAGAGAAGCTGGAACCCCGGTGCTGAGAACTAGGGATTTCCTCTGAAGCGGGGCGGGAAGCCAGTGCTTTGGGAATGGCGTCATCGCGTTTCCCTCGGTCCCCGTGCCAAGAACGAGGCGGTAGCCCGGAGAACTGAGGAGGAAGCCGTGGGTGGCAGGACCCAGTGAGGTGTCACAGATCCCTGAGCAAGTATGACTTCATCCCCTTCACGCCCCTCCCTTAGCGTCCACCTTCACGGAGTCAGAACTCCCTGTTCTGCTCTTCCTCAGCCGCGCCTCCCACTGAGCCATTGTTCCTCTGTTGAACTGGTTTCCTGTGTGGGTTGTTTCGCTTTGTCTTTTGTCTCACTTTGTTTGTGGCTTTGGTGTGTGTGGGGGAGATTCCTTTCAGATTTACTGATTTTTAAATTTTTATGTGTATGAGTGTTTTGACTGTGAGTTCCAGGACAACCAGGGTTACACAGAAAAATCCTGTCTTGAAAAACCACAAAAACAAAACAAAACAAACAAACAAACAAAAAACTTCATCTGGAGTTTAATGATATTCTTAGATATAACTAGATAGCTAGATAGAGCAGAGTAGCAGTCATTAGTATTAACATTGTGGCTGACGTTTCAAGTGTGTATGAATTAATTACCTAAAAACAGAAGAAAAGATAGTTAAGACCCTGGATGTCCTGGAACTCGCTCTGTAGACCAGGCTGGCCTGGAACTCACAGAGATCCTCCTGCCTCTGCCTCCCGAGTGCTGGGATTAAAGGTGCGCATCACCACGCCTGGCTCAGATAAAAATGTCTTTAGCAGTGCAGTGCCAATGTCTGTACCTCTGTGTGGTGCCTCAGCTGTGAATCCACTTTTCTCTCCAAATCTGCTGCCGGGCCCCTCCCCATCGTTGTGAATGGGATGACTTGCCCCGTCACCAGATCTGGAAGGCTGGAGTCACCCCCAACCTCTCTTCTCCAAGATCCGACACTATGCCAGCTGTTTTCCAGACCCCCCTGGAGCCCGCTCCCCGTCTCCATGGCCATCTCCCCTTCGTGTTTAGCTCAGACCCACTGGCTTTCTCCCTTCACTTGATTTCGGGGCCCCATCCTCTGCCTGTAAATCAGTCTCCCACATGAACACGGAAGGCGTGCGCCACCACCGCCCGGTGGCGTCTGGTTTCTAACTTGAGATCTGTGGTACACTGCTTGTGACTAGCACCATGGCTGATCCTGGGAGTGATTGGACCAAGCCTGGTGGATCACACCGGTAATTAACAGAGTGGAGCCAGACAGAGGAAGCAGACCAACCCGGGGTTGCCTAGGAAGACCTTGCATAAAAAGCAAACAAACAATAAAGATAGAAGACCAGGTTAAGTTAAAAAGCTTAATCAAGAAATGTAGGGCCGGGCGTTGGTGGCGCATGCCTTTAATCCCAGCACTCGGGAGGCAGAGGCAGGCGGAGCTCTGTGAGTTCGAGACCAGCCTGGTCTACAGAGCGAGTTTCAGGACAGCCTCCAAAGCCACAGAGAAACCCTGTCTTTAAAAAAAAAAAAAGAAATCTATGTTTTGTGCCTGGCATGTATGTTTTGTGGCTGGCACAGTGGTACACTCTTTTAATCCCAGCACTCCAGAAACAGAGGCAAGAGGATCTCTGTGAGTTCAAGACCAGCCTGGTCTGTATCATGTGTTCCAGGACAACCAGAGATATGTAGAGAGACTCTGTCTCAACATCCCTACACATGCACACCCAAAAAATATGTTTTATTTTGTTTTGTTTGAGGCAGGGTCCTATTCTGCAACCCAGGCTGACCAGGAACCCACTATGTAACCCATCTTGGCCTTGAATGTGAGACAATCCTCCTGCCTCAGCTTCCAGAGTACTGAGATAGGCATGAGCCACCAAGCCCAGTTTTAGAAATTTACTATGACACGAAATTAACCTATAAATAAAAAAAGACATAGACCTAAAATCTCAAAATTCAATTTAATAAAATGTCATTAGACTAGGACCAGAGCTTATCAACTAGATAGACTTCTGATGGGAATCACATTTGTTGAATTGGCACACACACATATTATATGTTTCTTCTATCATTTTATTATATTTTATTTGCTCAGTGTGTGCGAGAGTGAGCATGTGACAGGGTGGGGGGTCAGACGACCGTTTGCAGGAGTAGGTTCTCTCCTTCCACCTCGTGGGGCCAGGGACTCAACTCAGATACCTCTGGTGCGGTGGCAGGGTCCTTCGCCTGCTGGCCCTCCTGTGATATTTTGATACATGTATACATTGTGTAATGTTTGAATCAGGGTAAACATTTATTTACTCAAAAATTTTCTTTGTGACAAAATAAAACAAAACAACAAAAACACTTAAAATCTTTTCTTCCAGGGGCTGGAGAGATGACTTGGCGGTTAAGCGCACTGGCTGTTCTTCCAGAGGACCTGAGTTCAATTCCCAGCAACCACATGGTGGCTCCCAACCCTCTGTTTTAGGCTTGTTTCTAACTAGCTCTTATAACTCAGCCCATTAATATTAATTTACTCCCTGCCCCATGGCTTTGTTACGTCATCTCTGTACCGCCCATGCTGCTTCCTCTGCATCTCCTGGCATCCCTGCCTCCTTCTTCCCAGCATCCTCTCTGCCCTGGAAATCCTGCCTAGATATTGGCAGTTCAGCCTAAGCTATCAGCTGAGCTTTCATAATTAGTAACAAGTATCTGTGTTGTGCTTTTGTTTTTGTTTTTGTGAGGTGGTGATCCGAAGAAAAATCTGTCTATACTCCAGATTTAGGAGCTAGAGGCAGGAGAATCAGAAATTCAAGGTCAGCCACAACTGAATAGTAAGTTTAGGGCCAGTCTGAAGGAATCAAGACCCTATCTTTAAAAAACAAAAACAAAAACAAAAAACAGGGAGTTGGGGTTCTTGAAAGATGACTCTGTGGTTAAAAGCACTGCTGCTCTTACAGAGGACCTGGGCTCAGTTCTCAGCACCCAGACGCTGGTTCTCAATATCTATAACTCCAGTCCCAGGGGTCCAGCCTGCTTTGTGACACGCATACACGAATGCCAGCAAAACACTTATGCACAGAACACAAAATAAACAAATATAGAATAGCACATTATCATCGATAATAACTTCACTGTACAATAAAACATCAGAACTTGGGTCATTTTACTTTAACATTATTTTTGCGGCGTCTGGGAATGAATCCTAAGGCCGTTTGCACACTACGTAGGCATTTTACTTCTGAGTGCATTCCTCAACCCATTAAATAATATCTTCACATTTATTGATGTGTGTGTGTGTGTGTGAGTGAGTCACAAGCACAAACACACACATTTGTTTGTGAATACCCTCAGAAGCCAGAACAGGATACTGGGCCCTCTGGAGTTACAGGTAGTTGTGTGCCACCTACCATGAGCACTGGGAAACCAACTTCATCTGGTCTTCTGAAAGAGTGGCAAGCCCTCTTAGCCTCTGGCCCATCTCTGCAGTCCTATTTTATATTACATTCGATCTACAGATTTCCCTTTTTTTTTTTTTTTTTTTTTTTTTTTGGTTTTTCAAGACAGGGTTTCTCTGTATTGTTTTGGAGGCTGTCCTGGAACTCACAGAGATCCTCCTGCCTCTGCCTCCCGAGTGCTAGGATTAAAGGCGTGGGCCACCAACGCCCGGCCAGATTTCCTTTTTTTTATACCCAGTTAGTTGCATCTATCAGACCTTGCATTACTTTTATATTTAGAAAGAGATTTCCCATCCAGGACGCAAATAACTATCTTTCACTTTTCCCCCAGCTTTGGAGGTTGACATTAGGGTTTGACAGAAGCTGGGCAAGTGCTCCGACCACTGAGCAGTACCCCTAGCCCTTGTCTAGATTTTTTTGAAAATGATTCTGTCATTTTTGAGGTGGAATTAGTGTTGTAATTTAAGAAGAGCAGCATGAGAAAGATGCCATGTGACAGTGTTCAAGTGGGGCATGGAAGTGGGAGTGAGGGGTTGGGGGTAGGGAGGGTATTAGGAAAAGGATCACAAAAAGGGGAAAGGGGAGGGGGGGAGACCAGCCTCTAGGAACTATAGGAGAGAGCAAAGAGGGGGAGAGAAAGAGCAGAACAGAGAGAGAGAGAGAGAGAGAGAATGGAAGGGAGGGAGGGAGGGAGGGAGAGGAGGGAGAGAGAGGTGAGAGGTGGGAAGGGCCCTTTTAAGATCCAGCATAGTGAATGTGCACAGGTGGTGCTCTTAGTGGCTGCAGCTGAGGGCATATCCTGTCAGAACCTCAAGGGCAGGCCAGTACAGATGCCTGAATACTAATAGTTAGCATCAGAACACAGCATGAATCGGCACTTTGAATTAATGAGTCTATAAAGTAACCCTGCTGTGTGTGGTGGTGCATACCTGTAATTCCAACATTTGGGAGGCTGAGGGAGGACTGAGAATCTGAGACTGACCTGGACTACCTAGTGAGACTGTAGTGAAACCAAAATAAATAACATAAAAATAGCCCACTGGGGATGTATGTTCATCTCCGCGTCACCTAGCACGTGCAAGGGCCTGGATTCCATCTCTGACACCACAAAAATAAAGAAATAAATCAGTAAATATATTGCCCATGTTTTCAAATATAATTGCGAGAATTACCCATCCCTTTCTGGCAGTGTGAAGGCCCCTTATAAGGACAAACACGCACTAACATAATCCTGTTGGAATCAATCAAAAGTACCTAATTTTATTTCGTATACAAACATTTCCAAAGCCTTGATTATTGAGACATCCACATGGGGTAGACTAGAGCATTAACTCACACGCCAGCTATGATTTCACAGACTACTGAAATGCAGAGGGCTTAGGCACAAATTACTAGCAGTTGCTAAATAGATTTTAATAGAAACTGAAAACAGTAATGAGATGGAGATGCTTAATTATTAGCCAAAGTGCTTTTCCACCTGAAACATTTGCTCACTGGCCCAGTGTGGACACTTTCAAGCAATAATTATTCTCTCTGGGCTCAGATGTGCTCTGTATCCAGCCTGGACTTTGGAGCACAGAAAGAGTTGTTATTAACTTTATCTGAATGATGCCTCTGGGAATTAGTTTACCAACTGCACCAGCCCCAGACAATGAGGGGCTTGGGTACCATGGTGTCTTCTTTTTCTGGAAGAACTCAGAGTCGTGCCCCAGTATCATCGCCCGAGATAAATATATAGCTCTTTTCTCTTTGACATGGTCTCACGTATTCCAGGCTGGCCTTGAACTTCTCATCCGCCTGACGTCACATCTTGAATGTTGGGACTACAGGCATGCACTGCACTGCAGTTTGCAGCCATTTCTTTTTTTTAAGCCCTTGCCGGGCACTGGTGGCGCACACCTTTAATCCCAGCACTCGGGAGGCAGAGGCAGGCGGATCTCTGCGAGTTCGAGGCCAGGCTGGACCGACAGTCTCCAAAAAAATACAGAGAAACCCTGTCTCATAAAAACCAAAAAAAAAAAAAAAGTGTAAACATTTGTGAGAGAAATAAAATAATTAGAAAACCATAGGAAAAAAGAAAGATTTATTGGAAGGAGGGATGTGAGTCAGTGAAAAAGTACTTGCCAAAACCCAGGGTTCAATATCCAGAACTTAAAAAAAGGAAAATCTAAACTGGAAGGCACAACCCATTAGCATGTTTGTTGTGTTTTTTTGCTGGTGGTCTGTTTTTGAGACAGGATATCAAGATGTAGCCCTGACTGACCTGGCAGAACAGGCTGGCCCTAGACTTGGTTTATAGGTTTTTGTTTGTTTTCATTTTTTTTTTTTAACAATTTTCCATCAGGGAGTTTAGGACAAGGCTTATGTCCAGGGAAAGAGCTAGAAAAAGTTGAGTCCCACTTTAGGGATGACCATCATAAAGGCTCTGAGTCCACTCCCAGCATCTGTCAGCTGACCCACAGCTGCCTATAACCATGCAACACCCTCTTCTGCACATTTTTTTTTTGTCTGTTTTCAAGCCAGGGTCTCTCTGTGTAGCCCTCACTGTCCTGGAACTCACTCTGTAGACCAGGTTGGCCTCTGCCTCCCGTGTGCTGGGATTAAAAGTGTGCTCTGCCACAGTCCGTCAGACATGCCTTTTCAACCAGCGCCCCTATGATTCTTTTCTCTCTTGAGTTGCCAAGGCTGATCTCAAGCTCCTGAACTCAAACAATCCTCCTGCCTCAACCTCCAGGTAGCTAGGATGACAGGTGGCCACCACTACACCCAGCCCGTTTCCTCATGATTCTTTTTTCAAGATTAAAAAAATGTTTTTAATATATGTGTGCGCACATGTGAGAACATGTGAGCACAGAGCACTGCAGAGACAAAGGCAGGGGGATCTCTGTGAGTTTGAGGCCAGCATGGTCTACAGAGTGAGTTCTAGGACAGCGATGGCTGTTATGCACAGAAACCCTGTCTAGAAAAACTAAAAACAAGCAGGGTGTTGGTGGTGCACACCATTAATCCCAGCACTGGGGAAGCAGAGGCAGGTGGATCTCTGTGAGTTCCAGACCAGCCTGGTCAACAAGAGCTAGTTCCAGGACAGCCTCCAAAGCCACAGAGAAACCACTGTCTCGAAAAACAAAAAACAAACAAGCAAAAAACTCTTAAAAAAAAAAAAATCAAAAATAAATAAATAAATAAATAAAACAAAGAAAGAGAAAGAAAAGAAAAAAAGGGAAGGCATGTCCTTGGTCATTTGTTACAAGTAGGATCCTGGAGATCTACATACAAACACACCCATGCCTGTCACATGGCGAGGGCCTCCATGTTAACAAGCCCTGTGTGTTTTCCTAAGAATTGCCTTCTGGGGTGAGGAGAAGGCGGAAGTCAGCAGCCAACCAAAGGGAGTGGGTGGGTAACAGCCACCAGGCAGGATCCTGGGTCCTCCCACAGCCCTTAGCAGGAAGCAGACAACAGGGAAGGTTCCTATGGTGACAGGCCTATTCTGCTTTATTGCTTTCCTTCTGATGGGTGTTTTTACAAGATGTAAGCAAAGTACAACTGTTTTATAGCCGGGTGGTTAGAAAGACTGATACCAGCGGGGCTCTGGGTAAAGCTCCCGTGGGGCGCAGCCCTGCTGCGGTATGGGACCCCCAAACTCCTCTCTGACACTCGACTACCCAGACACAGGCTTCCGGGTGGGCAGCTGCGAGGTCACACGGCAGGTGTTTTGGAACACAAACCTGGGACCAGATCTAGTAGTCCCCGTGCACCAAATGAGATAGCTTTGTAACCAGTTTTCTTGTGTCACTGGGAATATATAACTGGTCACCGTCTGAAGAGTGAGTGAGACAGGGAAGAAAGCACGTTGTGTGAACATACCTAACCTTCCCTTCTCCCGATTTATAAACGCTCCACTGAGTGAAACAGCTGCTAAGGAAAGCTTCTGACCTGTAGCCAACAAGGCCCAGGGGGCAACGTGGAGTTCTCTCTTTCCACCAGAGGGTCCCAGAAATTGGACTCACGCATCAACCTTGGTGACAGTTGCCTTTGCTTACTGAGCCAGCTCACTGTCCCAAAGACACAAGAGTCTTTGAGAAAATGTTTAACAAAGTATGGAGAATGTCTCATTAAGAATTACCATTCTAGCCGGGCGTTGGTGGCACACACCTTTAATCCCAGCACTCGGGAGGCAGAGGCAGGCAGATCTCTGTGAGTTCAAGGCCAGCCTGATCTATAGAGTGAGTTCCAGGACAGCCTCCAAAGACACAGAGAAACCCTGTATCGAAACAAACAAACAAACAAACAAACAAAAAGAATTACCATTCTAGCCGGGTGTTGGTGGAGCACCGCCTTTAATCCCAGCACTCAGGAGGCAGAGGCAGGCGGATCTCTATGAGTTCAAGGCCAGCCTGATCTATAGAGTGAGTTCCAGGACAGCCTCCAAAGACACAGAGAAACCCTGTCTCGAAAAACCAAAAAAGGAAAAAAAAAAAGAATTACCATTCTCCTGGGGCTAGAGGAATGGCTCAGCAGTTAAGAGCACTGGCTTCTCTTCCAAAGAACCAGGGTTCAATTCCCAGCGCCCATACGGTGCCTACCAACTGTAACTCCAGTTCCAGGGGATCCAATGTCCTCTTCTGTATATACATGGTACATATTTTGCATATCTGTAAAACACCCAAACACATAAAATAAAAATAAATAAATCTCAATAAAAGAAGAATTATAATTACCTAGAACTTGATAGCGGCCAACGGATACCAGTTCTGTTTGTGTTATGCACCGGGCTTATCAGCCTGGCCACTGAAGCAACAAATTCCTTGAGAAAATGTATAATA